TTGACTATATGTTGCAAACTCAGAAATTTCACTTTTCAAAATTCATTTAAAACTTAGCATACTTCATATCGGTAAATTTACTGAAAAAATATTTTAATTATCGAATTTCAATTCAAACTTCAGAGTAAGCTGTGTGTGTATTGTTAACAAACAATTTTATACATAATTTGCCTTGGCTATTCCGTTCATAAATTAGACAAAATTGTCTAACTTACTTAACGAAGTGCACCAACGAGAAGGTAAGCCATAGGACTTTGCACTCCATCCGTGAGCTGTCATGTTGCCTAAGGTTAGCCCTCCATTTCTAGATTCTTTCCTTTACTTGATAGGCAGTTCATGTAAAAGTAATAGTATTTTTGCATAAGCTTTTTTTTTTTTTTTTTTTTTTAAATAATAATAATAATGTGCAGTTAAGCTGCAAATAAACAACAACAAATAAACAAAATTGGTGCAGATAAACATATCAGATATGATTCATACTATTTACAAAGATAAAAACCACTGAACTCAAATGTAGTAAAAAAAACTATTGGAACATAACAATAAAAGAAATAAGATTAATATATACTGTAACATAATTCTAAATTTACATTAAATAAAACCTCGCAATCCTAGCTAGAAAGAATAAGATCACCTTTTTCAAAATCTATTAATAAAGGAAATGACCATACTTCATCAGGTTCATTATCATACTTAACAAGGTATGTAGTTCTTCTACCGTTTAATTGATCAATTTGAACAACGTGCGCACGTTCCCAAGATACTTCATGAGCATCTTCTTCTCTAACACGATGTTGTATAGAAAAACCTACAAAATCAGATGGATTGTTAATAAATTTTAATAAAGAGTGCTTTTTTTGTTGCTCTATTAATTTGTTTAGTCTTGCATCCTGAATTTTTTCCATTAATTCTTTTTTTTTGTTTTCAACAGCTGCATCACGCATTGTACGAGGCTTTAAATTATTACTTATATTATTACTTAAAGATTGTTTGTTTGGTGTTAAATTTGCTTGAATAACAATAAGAAGATTTTGATATAATTCCTCTGAAGACAAGTTTATTCTTTTGCTTCCTTCTACCTTTGTTTTACAAAAAAGTTTTTTGTCACATTCGACACCTAAGATTTTGCGATAAAAGCTAAGTTGAGCTAGGAGTACTTTTGATTTCAATGGCTCTTCTATATTAAAAACTGTTTTCTCTGCTTCCTCTAATGATATCCAAGCCCTTACATTTAAATTTATCAAATCATTACAAGCTGCAACCTTTTTATGTTGTAGTTTAATTTCTTCTCGATTTTTTTCTTCTTGCTTTGCTAGAAGAAGAAAGAAAAGAAGCTCTTAAAAAATCTTTTTTAAGAGCTTCTTTTCTTTCATCATATTTGCTTTTCATTAATGTTACTTTAGTTCTTGAATATTCAAGCAATTGTTTTCTTTCTTCATCTGATTTACCATTAAGCCATTCTAATGTTTGGTTCTGAGACCACATTGTCAAAGCCTGGATAGTTTGAACATTTGCATTGGGTTTTGTGCGAACCATTAAATCCAAAATGGAAAAATCGCTTTCTGATGCTTTATTAGTGACAGGGACATTAGAAGCAGCTTCAGAAACAGAATTAGATGGATTCCAATATTTACCACCTGGTAACTGATCAGCACACTGACGTTCCAAAATAACAAAAATCGCATGGAAAATAATTTCAAGTGATTGAACAGTTAAAGAATCAAACTCATCATTTTGAGTGCATTCCAACAGCTTGGTGTAAACCATATCTTGATGAAGAAGATTGGTATCCTCAAAATTTTTTCAATTAGCAAACAATAAAGAAGACGCATCGATACAAAGAGATGAAAGTCTAACTTTCAAGCGAAGTAGGTAGGGGTTTAAAAATAATATACTATCAAGTGATTCGATAATTCTCCACATTGGACCAGTAAGTAGTTTGTCAATAATACCTAATGCACGGACTTCAGCAATGAATACAAGATTTGTGATATCTTCCTTAATTGCTTTTAATAAATTATTAGGGTTAGGTCAAGCATTAAGAAATTCTGTTATAGAATCCTTATGATAGTATAGGTCAGCTGCATTGTAATACAAAATATTAAATCGATTTCCAATAAATGGAACAAAATAAGATTTATCGTTACGAGAGGAAAGAAAAGAATTAAACCATGATGCAACACCAGCTTCCTCACTACCCCTTGAATGAAATGCCTTACATGTAGTACGAACTAACCGAACAGCACCACATTCTTTACCACTAAAAGCAAAAACAGTTTCAAAATCATTTTGAAGCAGAATTTTTTCAAAAGAATTTAAAAATTAGCGAGCAAATAAAGTTTACAGAAAAAATTACTCATGTCTTTCATATTGACTTTGACGTTTGAGGAAAGAAAGTCCCAGTTACTAATTGCAATAGGCAAAATTTTTCCCTTAATGTTTTTAACTGTGAGTTAAAAAGAGGATTAACCAAAGAAAGTTCAGACATTGTTGATTTTATTGATGTTATTAGTTTAGCAAAATTAATTTCTTTTTCAGTGGCTGAGTTGCTAACAACGTCACAAATGTCATCTACTATATTAGTAAAGTTTTGCAAAACAGTTCGTCGCGTTGGTTTGACAAGGTTCTAACTGATCCGCGAGTATTTTTGAGCAAATCAATGTTAAAAATTGTTATGTTCCTCCCATCAAAACTTCTTAAAATTCATCGATAATATTTTTTACTTATGATAACATAAGCATTTGCTATAAGTATTACTATTTTTTATTAAAATGTGTTTCACTCTTTATAGAAAAATGAATACCCCCAAAACGCAGTTAGAACCTTGTCATAGTGAAATAATCATATTCTCACTATGACAAGGTTCTAACTGCTGTTATAACGGTGGTTAGAAACATGTTAGTTACTTTAAAACTTTGTGACTGAAGCTGTTAGTTACTTTAAATTTTGTAACGAAACAATAATATAATAAAAAGCTAATTTTCATAAATTAGATTATTGTTTCAGTCACAAAAAAAGGTTACAAAATTTTTTTTACTCATTTTTGATTTTTTTATACTACATTTTTTTGGTACATTTTAAAACCATTACATTAAGTACAGGGTTAAAACCCTTAAAAGTTTTTCATGTTTATTTTATAGGCGAAGAACAACTCGATAGTATTCTCTGTCCTCGAGAGGCATAAACGGAAATGCAGCTTTAATATCTTTTTTTTTTTAAGTCTGCAAGTTCCTTTGTGCAATTTTGAATCTTTGGTTTTACATTCAAAATAGTGGAAGTTGATGGACTTGTTGCTGCATTCTTTCTGTTAGGTTTTTCATTGAACTTGACATTTGCACAGTTCATAGGTTCATTGCGATCATGGCTAGATTTGAAATGTATAATATGAGATGTTTGAGTAAATTTTAGAACAGCAACGTTAGAAAAAGGAACTGACTTGTAATTAAACAGCTTCGCTGTTACTTCATAATCCTTGAAGTCATGTGATTTCATTTGAATGATACGATAAGGATTTTTTTGTTAGCTTGTTTCAACATCCTTATCATTCCAATGATATGGTGTTGAAATGGTGGATCATGCTCATTCGCTATGAGCATGATCCACCTCTTGGACGCATGAATGACCTGGAACGGAATATTTCATAGTGATTGAGTTGATGTTAGGATTGTCTCTTAAAAAGTGTAACACAGCATTTGATAATATGCTCTTCCGATTTTGAGAAACGCAGGAGTCAGACCAAGTAATTAAATCACTGAAGTCGTTTTCCTCAGCCACATCACTCAAAATTTTGCAAAAGGCACTGGCAAGATCATTGCCGCTTCTTCCCGCCATTGATTCAGTCCATAATGCACAATACACTTTTTTGGTTGTTGAAAAATAAGCTATCAAATTATACACGCTAAGCTTTCTCAGATAAAAAAGGGAACTAATTTGTGCATGCGGAGTCAAAATAACATTTTGAAGGTCAAAAAGTAAAACAGGACAATTTTTATCCTTTTTCTTTTCAGAACGTATATCTCTCATTTCTTTTTCAAAAACTTGATGTCTTTCAAAGTCTTCTCTCAATTTTTCAGACATAGTATCAGTGTTTTCAGCAACTTTAAACTTCTCACAAAGGTCACATCTATCCTTTTTGGGAATGTGAAAACTAAGATTGAATTCGGTGGAGAAAATATGGTAGAACAAAGATTTTTTTACTGGCTCAATAATTTTGTTTATACATTTCTCTTTGTAAAGATTATACATTTTTGAAACATTAAGGTGTGACTCAAGGTATTCTCTATTGGTACTTACACGACAATAATGTGACTCAACTGTTGGAAAAGATTTTATGTGATCCCTAGCTGAGTTGGCATCACTATGCGGTGTACGTTTGCCTTTCATGATTTTACCTCGTAGATCTTGTGCAGGAGTATTTGTTTTAATATCTTTGGTGTTGTGAGCTGTGTAAACTGTCTTTTGTGAAATGGACAGTGTAGTTAAGTAGAATGTTTTGCAAACACAGACTTTTTCATCTTTTACATGAAAAAAATATCTATAGGCGTACTTTTTTTTTTGAAAAAACTTGTTTTTCAGCGTGGTCATCAGTTTCTTTATTTGCAGTATCACTATTATTGTTTTCCTCGTGGTTTCTTTTTGGTCTAGCAGTGGTTGTGCGATCAGTCGAAGTAACAAAGAAATGCCTCTTTTCAGTAGCTGAATTTAAGGCATAAAATGATGAAAAAATATCGATTCGCTCATCTTCCGATATTTTCTTTGCACATTCGTACTTACAGTTTGCCCGACAGTTTTTTTTTGTTTGAATAATCTTATCTGGTACTTGTTTTCCTCTTCGACTTGTATAATTTTTACCAGCTTGATATGCCTTTTTTTTTTATTACATCCCCAGGTTTCAGGTTTATATATTTGTTTTCGGAATTTTTTCTTAAACGTTTGTTGAACCTGGTCCCTAGAAGAGTATTATTACTTAGTCGATAATAGTATCTCTAGTATATAATCATATACTAATTAAATCGTTCTTAAATGATTAAAATGGATCACTTTGTATATAATAGTAGATTTTAATGTAGAAATCACTTTTTAGATGAAATTTTTATTAAAAAAACAAATCATAATAAAAAAATATATATATTTAAGATTTAGAGGGTGATCGTGGGGGAACACTACATATTTGGCTTACTTGTTTGTCACTAATTCAGCATCATTCGTAGGTTGTACATTCATGTCTATCTCAGAACATTTTTCAGTTTGTGCTACATAAACATTATTGGCATTGTTTCCAGAAGCTTCTTCAACAATATTTTGTTTAGAATCTTGGGCAGTTTTGGAACATTCTAGTGCAGTTCTGGAACATTCTAGTGCAGTTCTGGAACATTCTAGTGCAGTTCTGGTTAAATTAAAGCGCCTCTTCTTCCTGTTTAAATATTAAAAAGTAAAAATCTTTTTAAAAAACTTTTCAAAAGCTTAAAAATTTAGCTATTTTAATATGTAAATGCATGGCCAAAGTCACACAAAAAAGTTATATTAGGTTACTAACCGTGTACTTAATTCATAGCAGTCTTCGCCGCTTTCACTAGTTGGAGCTACAAATTCGTCAATATCATAACTGCTTTCTTTATCAAATACTACTCTTTCCATTTTCTGTTGATATTTTACTTAAAACGAAAATAATAACTTTTCAAATTGTTTTTTTTTTACTTTCAAATCATTTTTAAAATCTTTTTTTAACTACGCAGCCTGGTTTTTATTATTGATACAAAAATGTTTTATTACAAGTTGTTTAATTTTTAATATTACTGTTATATTTGATTTAACAATTTAAAATAAGTTACTTTGTAAAATCAACGTTCTAAAGTGCACATATATCGACTAACCGTTGTAGATAAGTGAAGAAAAATGAACAAGTATTGACTTACTTTTTGGGGTAGACACTGCAAAATATAGTTAGATCGACTTACCGTAAGGGAATGGCGCAGCAAATTGTACTTGCATTGACTGTGAAAAGTTTGTAAATTTATTAATGCATAAACATCATTATTTTAAAAAAATATTTTAGCTCATAAATCCCCTTTTTATTTTGAATAAAAATAGTTATTTCTATCCTAATCGAAACCAGAATTTTGTTTTTCAATGTTACAGGTGTCAATTTGAGTAAAGCTACAGAATGTTATAAAAAAGATTTTTTTTAAATGTCAAATAATAGCTTTAATGATATTTTATTCTACATCGGTGTCAGAATTTTTTTATATAATTTTTATCATAATAATTAGTTAATAAAAACCAGCAAGAGATTATGCAGTTATTGTTAGTTAGAACCTTGTCAAACTAAATATTATTTAACTAAAGTTGCAGATAGAACTTTGGCACATTAGCAGTTTGCTTGTTTTACGCTATATCGATGTAAATTTCAGTTTATTTTGTTCATCATGATTAAAATAGTCTAATAAATTGATAAAGTCGATTTTGGCAAAAATATCAGTTAGAACCTTGTCAAACCAACGCGACGAGTTGCTGCATCTTTGCCAACCACTTCTGACAGACCAAAAGATAAAGTTTTCCCACTAGTTGTAGTAATTTGAAAGTTTTGATAATGCTTATGGTATTTCTGAGTACCATCACCATGCAAACAATTGCCTATTTTAGGGTTTTTATTTATCAAATTATTTTCAAGCATTGCTTCTGCAACTTGAAATTGATCTAAAATTGAAGCTTCCTGCATTAACCTACATTTTACAGCGGCTGATGGCAGTCTAGATATGTTCTTTTTGGCAAGTTTGTTTAAAACTACTTTTATGACTTCATTAACACTATTCATACTCACGTTCATTGAAAGAAGTTTCATTATTGTTTCTCGAATGTCATCACTGTATCTGCCATCTTCAAATGTTATTACTTCGTCATCATCCAGCAAAGAAACCAATTTTTGAAGTTCTAGATTCTCCTCTTTTAAAATGTTTGTCTTACTATATAACGAAACAACTTCCTTCTCTAAACTTATAACACCTTTCATATTGTTGTCATTAATATAGTTGGTTTTATTTTGCAAAATAATTTTTAAATTACTCACTTTTTTTTGCAGCTTTACTTTTTTGTTTTTTAATTCAGAAATGTTTATATCTGAGTTTTCAAGAATTGAATTAATATCTGTTATTTTATTTTTTAATTGCAATATTATTTTTTTTTCTTCATTTTTTAACGAATTTATTTTATTCTTTTTTATTTCCAGCTGAGTATCACGATATTTTATTTTTTTATTCAAATTTCTAACATTAAATGATTCTTTTTTTGACTTTAATAGCTCTAATTTGTTTTCAATATTATTAAGCTTTTCTTCTTTTTCACAATAACACTTTTTAATAAAGTTTCTATCAGCTTCTATTAGAGAGTTTTTCGAAATAAGTATTTTTAGATTGTTTGACGTATCTTCAAAATCTTTTAGATGTGTAAAATAATCCATTTGTAAATCCATCATAGATTCCATTTTCCTTTTTAAAATTTTATTTTCTTCTTTAAGCATTTTGTTTTCGCTTATCAGTATTGTTTCTTTAGGAATTTCTGATGCACTGTATTATCAGAAAAATTTGCCACAGGTGGAAAAAAGGCTTCACCTAATAACAATGCTAATTTTTTATTTTTTCGTTGTTTCTTTAATTTTCTGATGGTGTCAACTAATCTATTTATCTTTTTGGCTAAAGCTTTCTTGCAGCAGAACAGTTCAACTTTAAAATCCAAACAATATCTACAATATATTGCATCATAAGATGTATCTTTTAAAGCCAAATACCAATCATAAATACTTTCATTTATCATTTTATCTAAATAAATAAAAATTTTCCAGTCATCAATTCGAACAAATATATAAACATATAAATATATTATTTCAAAGTCTTTTACTTATTATATATATATATATATATATATATATATATATATATATATATATATATATATATATATATATATATATATATATATATATATATATATATATATATACATATATATATATATATATATATATATATATATATATATATATATATATATATATATATATATATATATATATATATATATATATAAATATATATATATATATATATATATATATATATATATATATATATATATATATATATATATATATATATATATATATATATATATATATATATGTATATATATATATATATATATATAAACTTAAAAATTAAGTAAATTGTATAAAAAGAAAATTGCTAAGTTACAAATTAGACTTACTGATAAACTGCTGAGATTCAATTACTAATCGGTTAGCAACAACCACATTAACAACACAAAACAAACTCACTTTAGAATACCTTAAGTTAAAATTTACAATAAAATCTCAGCTATATAAAATATAGAATTCAACGTGTGCAAAATTCTTTTCTCAAGTAAAAGAGAAACGGCAAATTTAACAAAAATATCTAAAGACGGGGGAAATTATAATATTCTTTACTTAGAAAACAAAAAACCCACCCTATTAGACTACAAAAAAAAAAAAAAAAAAAAAAAAAACTCGTTCACTTAATAAATAAATAGTTGCAGAACTTATTTTTACGTGGGGACGAAAGAGTTATTTTAATTTACTTGCATTTTAACAAAACTGAAAGACTTAAAACTAAATAACTTTATCAATTCTAAACCAAAACGTCGTCCCCAAACAAATTATTGTAGTACAACCTTTTCTAAAAAAAATAACATCTACATGTACGTATATAATATTTATTTTCATGGGTGGGTTTTTATTCTTCAAAACCTACATAAAATCATTTCTGGCGAAGTTTTTCAAAAATATATTAACGATTTTTTTCCGCGATAAAATGTCACGTGACAAAACTCCCTAACTCTGGTGCTAAAGATGTGATTAATGAACTTGTCTTGAAAATGTTCTTGAACTTTTTAAAATAAATCTCTTGTTTCAAAATTTTTTTTGAATTTTTATTTGGTTTTTTTAATATTTAATTTTTGAAGTTATGTAAAATAGTATGTTATGAATTACTTATGAGTTTATAAACGTGAATTCTTATTTAAACGGAATTTAAAAATAATATTCATTGAAATCATAGAAATTAGCCATCATTTCATTTACAATTTTACTTTGAAAGCTAGGGTTTTTGTTTTATTAAAGTTATTAATCAAGTTGTTTGCAGCGCCCTTACTTTGATGTAATAATTTCCATTTAAGAGACAATTACTTTATAGGATGCTGAGTAAAATTTTTTTTGAATTTTTTATTTGGTTTTTTTAATATTTAATTTTTGAAGTTATGTAAAATAATATGTTATGAATTACTTATGAGTTTATAAACGTGAATTCTTATTTAAACGGAATTTAAAAATAATATTCATTGAAATCATAGAAATTAGCCATCATTTCATTTACAATTTTACTTTGAAAGCTAGGGTTTTTGTTTTATTAAAGTTATTAATCAAGTTGTTTGCAGCGCCCTTACTTTGATGTAATAAATTCCATTTAAGAGACAATTACTTTATAGGATGCAGATTTATAGTTGATTATAATATTATAAATATACCAATGCATTTTCATTAAACATCTTAATTTCCTAAAGTACCGTGCTAGTCGCTGGTTTTGCCATTTTTGAGTAATTTTGTAAAACAAATTTAATATATGACCTTAAAAGTTTTAAACAATTTTTTAACTGTTATATTATAGATATATCTTGAGTAATTTTGTAAAACAAACTTAACATATAACTTTAAAAGTTTGAAACAATTTTTGAGTAATTTTGTAAAACAAATTTAATATATAACTTTAAAAGTTTGAAACAATTTTTTAATTGTTATATTATAGATATATCTGTTATATTATAGATATATAATTTTTCTTTATCTGCATCAAGTGATCTTGTTTCTAATTATCGAATACTTGGCATGTTTCAAGCTATTAGCATGGCTATCTATTTTTATACTTAGCTTTTTCCAATCTCAAACTCCCAAGTAATTCCTAAGAACTCCTCTCACACATGTTCTTTTTGAGTCCATGCTTTTGGAGAATAGAAAGAGAAAAATAGCTATTGATAACCTATAGATGTATACCCAGTGGGCACACTTCGTCCAGAGGACGTCCGTCAGACGTTTTACGGACATGCAGACGTCCCTAAAACGTCTGAGTGACGTCCCCTGGACAACGCATGCCAACTGGGTAGCTACTTTTTCTAATAAAATAATGTATAAAATGTAATAAATAATAATAAAAGAATAAATTTGAAGTAAATTATAGAGATATATAGATTTATATTTTATAAACAATAGATACACTTGTCAAGCCTCGCTAATTCGTATTTGTTCTTTATTTCGTATTTTAAGCCCGCACTTTAGTTTTATATCAAATGTACACTTACTTCTTATTGTTTTTGTTTATTTGCGATCTTAGCAATGTCATTGTAAGTGCCATAAACGTTTTTTTATAGGTGAAAAGTGAGCAACACACTTATACAGTACAATCTCTCTAATTTAAACTTTATGATTAACATAAAAGTTCTAAATAAAAAGATTTTTGAGTTGCAGAAAGTTGACTTTTTATGGTGATTGGAAATTTTACTTAAGGATATAAAAAGAATTAAAAGTAAGATTTTCCAACAGTGATTTTTAATGTGATATTTAACTTTGACTTTAATTCGAAATATGAAACAGAGATAGTGCTATTGTAAAATTGATACTAGTTGTGTTAGAAGAGAAGAAGCTTGATATTGAAAATTGTTTTGGTCAAACCTAAGACAACTGAACTAAGGAGGGGACAAGTCTACCATTACATTTTTCTTTTACACGATGTACCTCAAGGATTGACGCATTCAAAAAGCCAAGAGAGATCATAATAGCATTACAAAAGATTTAAACCTTCGAAATGCAAGTAACTATGAAGTGCATTATCTGATTAATTGTACGAATTTCTTTGAGTTATTCATCTATATACGCTATTATTACAACTTTTTGGTTAACGTTTGCTAACGCGTTAACAACGGAGTTTTCTTGAATCCACTAGAATCATTTTTGATGACTAAATGAAAAAAATTTGCAATTTAATGAAACTATGTTTGTTGAAAAGAGAATGCAAAAAAAATAAAAAAATAAAGATAACTCCCTAATAAAACTGCGTGCTAAAACCACGTTTTAAAAAAACGTTTAAAAGCTAAGAATCTTGCTTAAGTGTACCCAGCAGATAAAGTAGAATTGAATTTTGTGAGGAAGTTCGTTTTTTTTTCCGTTGGAAAAAAACATTCTAGCAAGAGAAACTTTTAAATGAAATTTATGAAAAAAGACTACACTCAATAATCACAATGTTTGGTTTCACTTTAAATCTTTCTAAACTTGCCTGTTTTAACCACTGAAGGCGAAAGATCTTTTAGCTGGCTATTTTTAAAGACCATCTTTATTCTACAATTGGTTTGGAACGATTATGATGATCCTTTACATTAAATCAGAATTAGCTAAAAGCTTGTATTACAAAAAAGTTATTTCAAACTTTGCATCTAAGAAAACCCTTAAAATAAAGTCGTTACAGTAACGTCAATATGATTTTAGATTTTCTATAAAAAAAATAAAAATAATAACTATACTAACTTGTATGCCATTTATTATTTTAAGACTCTGAATATCATAGGGTATCCAATAAACTTTTTAACCCGGGCTCACAATAGCTTTGTTTGGGCCTGATTGAAAGTATTTTGTACATCAGAAGAATGTTTTTCTATTTGTTTGAGTTTAATTTAAGTTATAAGTAAAAAAGTTGCCGAGAAAACAGTTATAAAAATGTTTATATATGCCATCTCCTAAAGTTTTTACTCTTTAAATCGTTTTATCTCAAAACTCAAAAATGGTCAAAATTAGTTTGATTTCCACCGGGCTTCTGACCTTTGTACTCTCTTTCCTGCCTAGCTGGGCAGTAATTTTATTTAGTTACGCTCATTGAATAATTAGCGCGTACTCTAAAAGTAACCACATTCACTTGTGAAGAAATAAAAGTAAATAAATTTTCACAATCCGGAGGTAACTTACTGAAATATTTTGTTAGCCCCATCAATCGTCCACGGGTAATGAAGTTTATGAACATCGTTTCGGAACAGAAAGCAACTATCTGTTTGCAAGCCAACCAAATAAAAAAACTCAAACATAAAAAAGTAGTTATAAAAATAATTTCTACTCTCAATCAGGCTCTTTCAAGTTCAAATGACGATTCTGGAGTAATATTTTCAGAAACAAACCAACTTTGTTACCATAAACTGGTCAAGTCCTAGTCGAGTTTAAGCAAGCATTCACGCGTGAGAAAAATATAGAAATATTTGGTGCCCCTGAATTAGCTTATGCAGGAGATGTTGGTCAAGCACTGCTAGCAGCGTTAAACAGCATCACAGAGGTTCTAAAAGTACTACGCTACAAAACCAATCAATCGTATGAGACGCAAACCACATGCAACAATTTTTATAATTCCATACTCTCTGCTCAAAACATCTGACAACCACTAAGAACAACAACGCTTGTAAAACCAAGCATTGGATGACGCCATTTGTTCAGAGCCTTATTAAAGAACGTCAGCAGCTATTTCATATAATCATCAAGCAGAGTGGAAAGTGCCTGCATATTGAATAAGCAAACTAGTCACCAAAAGATAACGTATATTGATTATGGATAATTCTTCCCAGCTGGCTTACATCCTTGACTACAGCTTATTTATTTAATTGTTGCCAAAGAGTAAAAAAAAGTAATCACACTACTGCAGTTGAGTGATCACTTATTTTTACTCTTCGGCAATGTGTATATATTTCTAATCAGTGCACTGATAGGAGATAAAGGTCCTTTCAGCTTATCTCAATTCATTGTTGATGGTGTCGTTCAGTCTGATATTAATGATTTAAAACTCAACAGCTCAAACGTAAAAACAGCAGCATTATTTTTGGATGCTTCAATAACCATACCCTACCACAGCCCATTCTGAGCTTGAAACTGTCAACAGCTACAAATATATTGGCATCCTACTTAATGAGAATCTTGATTGAGATGAATAATGGATAAAAGTGTACAATACCATTAAAATCAGTTTAATTTTTACATAAGCGATCAACCTTCTACAACTTTACAGGATTTACCCTATTAACCACATGGTATATAATGCTTCAGTTCTTAATTCATGCAGCCTTGCAGTTAAAAAAGAAATTCAACATTTCCATAAAAATGTTATTCACATCATTCGAATTGACGCAACCAATTTGAGTCACTTCAATATTTGGTTGGATATTGAACTACTAAACAGAATCTGTATTCATAAACTACAAAGGATTCTTCATGAAAAAAATCACCAAAATAGCTTGCACCAATATTTAAAACCATGACACCATAAACCCTGACTATAGAAACTGCTGGAGCTAGCACCGGTCTCAACCACTTGTTTTCATTGAAAACAAATGACCTTAAAATTGTAACCATGACGACGATAATATTTAAAAACCGTAAATATAATATGGCGAATAAAGTATGCGCAGTTGGTTACAATGTCGCTAATTTTTTTTAAACTTAGATGTGTTTCTAACTAATATCATGTCATCTATTTTGTGCAGACAACGAAATTTACCAGAATGTACACGTAAGAATAAAATTAGGTTTGTCACATGCTAAGGGATGTTAAATCTTCAAGAGTTGTTTTTAGTACTTTGCAAAATTCTTCTTCAGATTTTTGCATATGTTGTTTTATTCATTCAAATAAATTTTCAATTTTTTGACATTTATTTTTTTAAATACAAAGTCTTTTTTTACATATATACATTTTTAACTTGTAAATATTTTTATCACAATTTTTTGATAAATAATAATTACTAATAGTAACTAATAGTAAAGTTACAGTCTTTATGAACATCCAACATAAAATACACCTTTTAAGAATTCTGTATTTACTTTTTAGATAATGATAATAAAAAAAAATTAAAGTAGAAAACAAATAAAAAATCTGTTTAAGTGTAGAAAAAAGTTGCTGGTTATCAGCAACTCTATCCCTATGATTTATTTAACAACATGTTCACTATGTGCAAATACCCTCAAATGTTCAGAAATTATAGAAAGAAAAAAAATTTTTCAGATGTAAAATTTTATAGCTTTAACTGCTATCAGTGGAAAAAAAAAACACAAATCATATGAAATATAAAAAAGTCAAAAATGTATTTATAGAAATTTTTAGGTCCTAAATTCCCTAAAAATAAAACATATGAAGGTTAAAAACGCATTTATGTTTTATTCTGGTGGATAAAAAAATTAAAAAAAGTTTAAATTTTCATATTTGCATTAGGTTCATTTCGGCAATTTGTTTTGTTGTCACAGTTATACTAATGTGGTCTAACTATGATAAAAAATTATGACCATTTTATTGAGATATACATTTTTTCCATAATTTAGATTTAGCCTGTGAAGTACTAAATAAAATAAAATAAAAATGTCTGTGATTTATTCAAAATTTTTAAATAAAGTTTTTTTTATTTATATTTAGAGTTTTATAATCTTCCAAAATTAAGTGAAAATGGTTCCGAAAAGGTTAGTATTTAACTATTTGATTTTGGAAAGATCATATTAAATGTTTATTGTCCTTTTATTTACATTGAATTTATGAAAAGTTTAAAAATATATATATATTTGTCTGTTAAAAACACATGTTTTTTGTGATAAATTATTTTGAATTAAAAAAGTTAACATAATAAAAATTAAATAATAAACTGGAAAAGTTTATTATCTAAATTTTAAACTAGATTGGGTTTCGAACTAATGCAGCCATTTTATTTGAAACAATTTAATTCAACAAGTTTAAACTAAATATATTTTTTGTTTGTAAGTTTTTTTTAAAAACAAGACAGGATAACCAAAATCCAATTATTGCTTAGTAAGTTTTTATGTCAACAGTGTAAGCTTTTGCTGAGTTCTTTTTTACCAGATTAAACAATTTTTATTTTTTTATTTTTACCAGAGTAAAGTTTATTTTTATCTTTATACAGGTATGTATAAAAAGATATAAAAGTTTTTATTTTTTTTCCTTAGAAGCAGAATAACAGTTATATTAATCTATTTTTATCCAAAACACTTTTATTATTGTGTTTAATGTGTTACTACTAAATACTTAGATATTTGGAGTTAAAGTTTTGTATACATTTTGTTCTAGATATTTTTCTTCAAAGTAATCAAAATAGCATTACTGATGAATAAATATATTAAAATCTTTTAGCACTTACATCCATGTTATGTATTGTTGTGGATGAGTTAATGTGTAACATAACTCCTTCACTGTGAAAATGGTATTTTAGCACATTTTTGAAAAAAAAAAATTGAATATTAAAAAAACTGTGAAAAAATAAAAATAAAAACATTCTGAATTTTTTTATTTTGACTAAAAAAAAAAAAAAAAAAAACATTCTAGTCTATTATATATAGTTGTGTTTTTTTTAAAAAACAAAAAAGTTTTATTACTTTTGTCAAATAATTTAATGATTTTTACATAAAGTTTACTTGATTTTGTAAACTTTAAACACAAAGAGTTGTTAAAAGCCTCATTATTTATATTGAAACAATTAAAATGTACTTTAAGTAAATGGGGTACTTAAGATTACTGAATTTAAACTGTTACTATAAATTGAATAAAAAATTTTAGGTTTAGAGTAATTTCGTTATTTAATATCAAAACTTTTTTAATTTAATTTATTTAGTAACAGTATAGTATTCCATTTGTTTTTCAATTTAAGTATATATTTTTTACTTTTAAAGTTAGTTATAGCTGATAACCCTAGTATAAGGATTGCTTTTCTAAGCAAATTTTAGAAAAATGTAACTGAGCAAGATATAAAATCAATTCTTCATTCAAAGCTCTTTCATATAGAAAAAAAATCCACCTACTCTCTTGTATTGTGGCGAAAAAAAAGTTCAATTTAAAAGATTAAAATCTTGTTACTGAAAAAAAAAATGTTTTGAAATTAATATTTAAGAGTTATTGCTTTAATTGTTATGTTGATAATTATACATTGATGGTTATTGCTTAATTTCTATATTTATTATAGTTTTTTAATTCTGCTATGTTTTGATTCTCATATTTATGGTCTGACATAATTTTTATAGTTTTTAATTCTGCTATGGTTTAATTATCATGTTATATTTTGTAAACAGACTCTTTTATTGCTCTTTTATGACTGATGTAACATATTATTATTGATTAATTAGAGGTGTGCTGTATATGTTTGTAATTAGTGATATGATATTATTATGTATAATGTTTGTGTAATGTGACTTCATTGATTTACAATGTTTATACTATATAATGTAGGTTGCAATAATCCAACAAAATGAATGGCAGAGAATAAGAGATAATGCATTAAATTTGAATACAGATAATGAAGTTTTTGCTAGACAACAAAAAGAGAGAGAGGAGCTATATGCAAAATCTAAAGAGCTTGCAAAAAATTGGAACCATACTATTCAGGTGTTTTAAAAATTAATCTTGTGTCAATATAGCTTATATATGTGTATAAATTGAATTAATAAATTCGAATAAAAAGCATTAAATTAATGGGCTCAATTAAAATTTAAATGATAAAATTAATGCTATAATAAATTAGTAAACAAAAATTATTAAATAACAAGCTATACCATTCATAAAGTTTGTAAACGTAAATAGTTATAATGCAAAATATAAGTTAATCATTCCTATTTATTGGTTCCATCCTAAAAAGCTTGCATGCTTATTTTATCTCCAAAAGTTTTTTGTTTTTTAAACATCTGATTCATATTAATTTAATGATGATCATATTAATCTGATTTGATATAAATTTTTATTTGCCTATTAACTTTTACCTTGCTCTAAAACTATTATCTTAGTATTTTAACTGTCATTTTTTTAGTAACTACTGGCTTAGTGATTATTTGCAGCAGTTGGTTGTTGGTGAATAACTTTTATTGCCAATAAGCGATAAAAACTTCTCATTGACCTGAGAACAATCATTTTAATGATAATGAATATCAGCTATCAGATTTATATAAACCAAAAAATGAATTTGATAGAAGTATGATGTCTTTCCTGGTCACTGGCTAATGTGATATATGTAGTTAATTTGAGCTGATGTAGCTGCTGATGTGCTTGCAAGTAATAAAGAAACCCATAACAAAGCAGCTATTACTGTTTTTAGTAAAATTTAATAAGAGTTAAAGTCTTATTTTGATTTTTTACAAAGTGATTATTTAAGGCAGGGTTGTCACCAAGTTGCCTTTAATGTCCTCAGACATGGCATAATACATTCCAACATTTTAAAATTTTCAAAACAAATTTTATTTACATAGCTTTCAGCATACCTAACTACTGTTATCCACATATTTTAATTTAAGTTAAAAGTTCGCATTTAAATATAAAAAAAAAATGCACATTATAAAACATATATTTCTATATTTTAAATAGCAGTCAATTATGTTTATTTGTGTCTCATTTGTCTGGAGAAAATTGTTGTGAGCAAATGTGAACAGACACTATACTATAAAACATACCGCAAGTTGTGACAAATTTAAAGGCCAATTTTGTATTGACAAGATGGAATTGGTAATAAAAGATATTCTTAGGCAACAATCAGTGATGAAAAGTTTTTATTCCCAGCAAATATTGTGAAGAGTGGTAAACTTTTTTACTGGAAATTTGATTAAAAAAACTGGTAAAGCTATTTGGTCTCAAAAAAAATAGCTATGCTAATACAGACTAGAGAAATATATTAAAAGATGAGCACTTTACTGATACTCTTTGAATTTTGTCATCCAGTATAAATACAGACAATAAAATTTTATGCAAAAAAAAAAAAAAAGGCAAGTTTAACATTAAATAATTTTTTGTAGTATGTTTAAATTTAAATAAAAGCTTAAAAGTGCAATTAAATAAATGTTTTGGAATATATATATATTTGGCTCTCTTGTGTTGATGTCAGAATAAAATCCTTTACTGTAAAAAGGTCTGACATCTTCTGTTTAAAGGGAAGTGTTAAGAATGTCCAGTTTTAAAGGAATAATCAGTTTTTAAATTACAGATATTAGTTAACTTATTAAGCTGGGTGAATAAAATAAGCAATTGCTTTTACTCAGCGTTTTTTGAGTAATTGTTCAGCTTTACATGAATAAAAATTTAAACAAAATTGCTCTAATTTTTATTCATGTAAAGTTAAGCAATTTAATCTGAAAATGCTGAGCAATTGCTCAGCTTTACATGATTAAAAATTTGAGCAAAATTACTAAAGAGTTTTATTCACATAAAGCTGACCAATTACTGAGAAAAAACAATTGCTTTTTTTTTATTCACCCTGCCTATTGGATTAAAGTACTTATGGTTGCACTTAAATTTTTTAACAACTTCAAAAACAAATGTTTATTACTTTATGTATATAAATAATATGTATATAATTAGCTCAAACACCCAGTTTTTAAGTGCAACGGTTAAGATAAAGTGTTTAAAAATGTATATCATACACGCTGTGATGGAAATAAATGTAATTTATTTCCATCATACCATGATAATATGATAACACCAAAAATCTAAAAGTGAAAGTTTTTTATTTACAGGGCCAGCGATTTAAAAAGCTAGAAGAAAAAAAGTTCAGAGATGAGCAGGATGAGGTAACAAACACCAAGCTACTTTTTATTAACAGCAAAAAAAATTTTTAATCTTTTATCAACTTAATGAAATGAATAAAAAGCTCTTGTGATGTAAAAGAAAAAACTTTTAAATTCATGTTACTCTTGATTAAGACAAAAGGTTATATTAAATATAAAATGTTTACTTACATTGCTTGTTTTATGTTTTTCTTTTTTTAATCCATGCTTTTTTTCTATTGGTTAGATAAAAAAACAGCAGATAGATATTGAAGAAGAACAACTGAAGTCTCAGCAGAGGAAAGAAGCTATTGCACTTGCAAAACAACAGCAGTATTTTCAAACTGATAGAGTAAAGAAATTTCATGTATGTTTTGTATTATGATTTTACAACTTAATATATATATATATATATATATATATATATATATATATATATATATATATAACTTAATATATATATATATATATATATATATATATATATATATATATATATATATATATATATATATATATATATATATATTATATATATATATATATATTCCATTTTATATGATAGTAAAGTCTAAATAATAGTAAAAAAAAGAAAAAAAAATTCAAATTAAACACGGTAATGTTTTAGAATAAAGAAAAAAATGAAAGTTTTGTAGCATTATTATTTTAGAGTCTAGTTTAAATTTTATAAGCATAAAATTAAGTTTTAAAGTTGTAACTTTCGAAAATTTCCAAAAGTTACTTTTGTAGTTTTCCAAAAGTAACAAATTCTGTTTTGCAGTAACTTTGGCTTTGCAGTAACACTGATACAAATGGTTGAGTAAATTTTTTAAAGCATTTGTTAATGTGAGTTAGACAAGCTTACTTTTGCTCTGTATTAAATGATTTATTAAGGTTTACTAGATAAGATCTTTTTTGATTTGTAATAATTTTTTCAATAAGAAAATTCAGATAGTACTTGGCCAAGTACATATTGTTCTGGAACTTATTTATTGAGACAAAAAAATTCTTGTAAAAGTAGTGTGTAAACTTTCTATTTAATCTCTACCAAAGTACCTACTCTCTAATCCTGATGTCTAAGCTAATTACTTAAATCTATGTTTTAATGCATAACACCACATAATAACATGACCATTTATCTCATCTCTTTTATTCAAACAATGTTCACTGCTATACATACGCTTAATCACATACATGATGCGATTAAGTGCATGAATGGATGTTTTTTTTTAAAAATCAGATTCCTTTTTTTAGGTAATGAAACAAGCATTGCTTTTATTAACTGAAATAGATTACCTGCAGACCTTTAACATTCCATGCTGCATTCTATTTATAAGAAAAAATATAATTTAACAATGAATTCAAAACAAAAACAATTTCTTAAAATTTTAATTTTTATAAAAAAAATATTGGTTTATTATGTGCAAATTCTGAAATTCTTTATTATTACTGTTATTAATAAAACATGTTTGATATTTCTGATTTCTATAATTTTTGTTGTCATTACTATTGCTTATTGTTATTTTTATAAATATTTACATTACTATTATTAACTACTTTTAACTATTATAACTAATATTAGTATTGTTAATAATAGTTATAGTAATTATCATTAGTGTATTGTTGTTATAATAATAAATATTTTATTTACTGTCATTATTGTTGTTGTTATATTATTATTATTATTATTGTATTTTTACAGTATAATTCTTTATAATTACTACTATTATTGATATCTATATTTTATTTATTGTTGTTTTTATCACTATATTTATTATTATTGAGTTTGACAGGTGTTTACTTTATATTAGTACTCATTACTATTTATAAATATCCTTGATGTAAAAACTTTTATTCAGAAATGTATTTGATTTGATTTAAGTTAAAAAATGACTTTTAACTTTAACTTAAAACTGTTTTTTAAATAATAAATTGAAGTTATAGTTTTTTTCTTAATGCCATTATTATTTTTAAAATCTAATTTTCCCAGCATGCAATAAAGGGTTGTGATGTTTCCTTTTTCAAAAAAATAAATAAAACTAATTCTTTCTTCATTACTTTGTTATGAGAAAGATTTATTACATCAATAATTATTAATACAAACCATAAGGTCCATATTGTTGTTTGATCAAATCATGGTTAATTGTGTTTTTTTAAAAAGTAATATATTAAAGAATGAATTGAAAAAAATTTTCAATGTAAGAGTTTGTTCAAAATATTGAAAAATTGAATTTTAAACATCTTTTTTAATTAGTTTATATGTTCCAATTGAATAATTAAGATATAGCTTTAAATTAAGGTGGAACCAGGGTAAAAAATTACTATTTTTGGTAAAATTTTGAAAAATACCAAAATGCACGGTTTGAGTTCTATCTATTAGAATGTGTTTTTTTTTTTGAAAAAAGTTGGAAATCTTAATTTTCATCAAATTTACCTTTTTTAAAAAATCAATTTAGTTCTGGCTTCATAGCAACAACTACAAAAATTGTTCTCAAAACAGAGGCCCTGAAAGACAATTTCTTAAGTTTTTATAAGTCCTTCCTTCAGTTTATATTAAGTCATAATTAAAGATTTGTTAGTGTTTTTATTTGAAATGGGTTCATTGTAAAAACGAGGTTCCTCATCCCTTAACGGTGTTGTGACACTGATTTTGAAAGGCAAATGCAATGACTGAGTTTTTATCTTTTACAGGTTAAATCTTTTGATGAGATATCAAAATCTGATCCTTATTCAGGTTACATAATTATCAAAGGATAATTGTAGAGTATGTGGGACATGTTCAAAAGTGTGTTCACATCTTTGCACAATTAAAGCTAACTATAAGGGAAAAAACTTACTGATGGTAAAGGAATCGGAGGTAGGAAAAGAAGGCTAACTGAAAAAGAGATGAATACCTTGCAAAATCATTATAGTATGGCTATCAGGCAAAATGCTAACAATTTATATGCAATGAAAAGAGCAATTGCTGCAGTTTTACACTATTTAAATGAGCATGATTATCCTGAAAAATGATATCAGTATTGTCCTTGTACAGCTGAAACTTGTGTAAATTTAAAAGAAAAAAATTACTGGTAAAGCCTACAAAGATAATATTAGTATTGACACAGCTGTCTCTGACATAGTTAAACCAGTATTTTCTTTTAAAGATCTTGGTTGTGATGAACTTTTAAAAAAATGTTTGCATTGTAAATCTCAGAGCGTTAATGCATCTCTCAATAATCTGATTCAGACAAAATGCTAGAAACAAGTTTATATTGGGAACAGTACTTTAAAAATGTATGTAGTTTCTGCTGTCATTAACTATAATGATGGTGCTACGGACTACTTCCTGTGTTTATCAAACTAGGTGTAAATTGTGGTTTTTATACTGCAGAGAGAAGTCAAAATAAAGATGTTCATCTCTAACAATAGGACCATATTACAGAAAATTGTGTTAAAAAAAGACATAAAAAGCTCTGAGCCATAATATGATAAAGATCAACTTGAAGAAGGAGAGACATGGTTATGGCTAAAAATTTAAAATATTTATCATGTTTCGGTCCTTAACTTCCCTTAATTTTTATATCTTAAAGTTTGAATGTCGACCTAGTTAATATAAAAAAGTTTAAAAAATTCTGTTTCATAGACAACGTTCTAAATACATGTAAAATAAAGAATTCATGTTCAAATTTTCAAATAGTTTTGACAATTTTGGGTATAAAATAACACTAATTATGTGCATAATTAATGATGTCGTTACTAAAAAATTAATATTTTTTACTTTTTTACTTTTTTTGTTGATATATTGATAGTTAAAAATTTTTTGTTAAAAAAGTTGTTTTTGCCCTGGTATAAACTTAACTGATATGTGTCAAAATAAAAGTGAACAGTTGGAGTAACATTAGCTAAATTGACGCTAATAATTAATACCAGAAGTAAAACTATAAAACAGTGTCAAATATAAGTTATATTAATAAATAAAAATAAAATGAGATACCATAACAAAACTCATCACAAATCAGCTATAAATCATAAAGATTTTTATTCAAGGAATTCAGACATATTTGTACATAAGATTATATGTATTTTATGCAGTTATGTACTTGGAAATTTATTTACTGAGTTTTATGTCAAATGATAATTATTTTAGATTTAGTTATAGTACCATGTTTCTTTTTTGTTTTAATGAAAAAATAATAAAAGTATTTTTAAAAAGTATAATTTACATATTTTTAATTAGGGAGCCCTACTACTAACTGAAGTTTTGAAGGAAAGAGATGCTCAGTGCAAGTTTAAACTTCAAAAACAAGAATGGGAAAAAAAAAGAAATGAGCATCTTTTGGAAATGGAAAATAAGGTAGATTTAATTTTGTTTATGTCAATGTAAATACTTATTTTTTATAAGATGTGTCATTATTACCTAATTTGATTCTCAAGTAAAAGTGAAAACTATCCCCTTCGTACACCATGTGTACAAATGTACTCAATTCATTTTGTTCATTTGTCACAATAAAACTTAAGCAAAACAATAATTAAAACATGATGTGTACAATAGTGCACACCAGTCCTATTTTATAATTTAATAAAATTAATGTTTCAAGAAAATTTTACATACCTATAAGAAGGTCTAGTACATTTGTTTTATTTAAAAAAAAAAAAATTTTTAAACACATTCTATGTGCCCTTGTACAAAGGGGCTATACAACGAGTAAAAGATTGGTTCCATGAGGTCCAATATATATAAAGACACAAGATTTTATTTATATAGTAGTGTTGTATTCTATTATTAAAATGCATCTACATGTATGGAAAGAGGTTATAACAGTTTTTATAAGTTTCTTATTAATTGAAATTTTGTGTACCTTTTACAACTTATTAGTTATTTGCCAATTACAGTTTTCTATATGACATCTTGAATACATTGTCAACTTATTCAGCTTATAATTGATGTAGTATATTTGTCATTGTGAATAATAAATTTATGAGTGGTTTATAAAAACTTTGATTTGAAATTTTTATAATTTAGCACTCTCTGAATACTTTTAAGCAAGTTTTCTGAACATTTCAAGTAAGAGTTTTTTAACCAAGTGTTCTGAATTTTTTGTTTTTGGGCTTTTAACATGTGAAACTAGAAAAACTCTATAAAACTCTATAAAAAAATCTTGTATTCCAAACTTAGGGATGTTTTATATATTTTATAAAAAGCTTAAGGATTATATATTATAAAAAATTTGTTATAACATATAATCCTTAAGGGTTTAAGGATTATATGTTATAAAAAAAAAGATATGGTGCATGGTTGCAGTTTAATTAATATTACAAATTTAAATTAAAAAAAAATTATAGCAAATACAAAAATTATTATTAAGTTCACCTCATGAATCTTGGAACATGAGTTTCATTTAAACTAGGTAGTTAAGCTTTGGTTGCAGAGAGAATAGGCTAGTACAATATTTTTAGAGGTGTTGGTTAGATTTGAACCTCAAACCTTTTGATTGTCAAATGTTCAACCACTAGTCCAATGATAGAGATATTAAGGTTTAAAAATAATAATTTTTTTTTCACATCATTTTATAAACATTTATAAACTGTTATGTATATTTCATATTTTTTTAATATTTAATATAGTATTCCTAATTTCTTATTAAATTATTTTTAAAATATAAAACTTATTTGTTGTATTATAGAGTATCGAAGAAGCTGCTAAAAATGAAGAGAAAAAATTGGCTCTTAAATTAAAGAAAGAACTTAATGTTGCTGACTTTCTTTTACTTCAGTAAGAATACACTTAAACCTATTAGTAAAGCTTCAGTTTTCTATAACAATTTTCATTGTTTATTTGGATATTTTCTTGTTAGATAATAAATAAATAAAATGAGATAATCAAAATCATTTCTTTTTAACCGCTTTATTAAAGTCATCTTTGAAGGCCAGTCTTCTTAATTTTCAGTAACTTCTTGGGTACCTCAATGTTCTATCATTGATCCTGTTTTATTTCTTATCTACATTAATGATACTCCTGGAATAGTGTTGTCATATGGGGCTGTTTTTTTTAATGATATTCTTTCTCTTCTAGACAAGGTTCAAAAACGCATTTTAAACATAGTTGGACCTGCTCTGCCACATCTCCTACATCTGCCAAGCTTGGCCTCTCTCCAATTGCCATAAAGTTATGTCTCTTTCTCTTTTCTGCAAATACTGTCATGGTTGCTGCTAACATGAGCTATCATCTTTTGTTTCAATAACCAAAACTAATTCACGCTCACTCTTCATTCAGCAAAGTCTCATTCATTTACTGTATCTGTTCCTGCATGTTCTAAAAACTTTTATTGTTCTTGTTTTTTTCCATGGACTTCATTAGACCTCCTAGCCAAAGAATTTTACTTTCAAAAAAAATCTTCTGACTGGCTAGCTGATGGCATGAGTGGATAGCCTACATTTTTGTGGCTGGCTAGCTGACATATTTTTTTTGGCTGCTTAGCTGGCTATTTTATATATATATATATATATATATATATATATATATATATATATATATATATATATATATATATATATATATATATATATATATATACACCCATATAGTGTAGCTTTAAGAGCATTTTAATGTAAAAAAAGTCTCTTAAGACTACAATTTTAATTACCTCGTCTCTTAAGCTGTTTTTGATTGTCATCGAAATGTCAAAGCAATTAATTTATGCGGAAGTACATTAAATTTAATTGTTTTTTAAAAAATTTTTAAAAAACCGCAATTATAGCGACTAGAAAGTTTTTTTTAATTAGTGGTGTTTTTGTTATTGATTTAATAAAAAACATTTTTTAAACATGCGTAAATGTTGTTACATCGACTATCTTATAGCCTGATTTGCAACAGAGTGCTGCTACATCGACTGACAAATAGCCTGACTCGCAACGGAGTGCTGCTACATCGACTGACAAATAGCCTAACTTGCAACGGAGTGCTGCTACATCGACTGACAAATAGCCTGACTCGCAAGAGAATGCTGCTACATCGACTGACAAATAGCCTGACTCGCAAGGGAGTGCTGCTACAACGACTGACAAATAGCCTGACTCGCAAGAGAGTGCTGCTACATCGACTGAGGGTTTGGTTTGGCCAGGCAGTCTATCAATTAAAAAAAAAAATTTAATTTTTTAAAACTTTTTCTGGTCTGGTTTATTAACGCGCTCTTTAAAACTACAGTTTATGGGAAATATTTGTTGATGCCACGCAAGAGACATGCAAGAGTATATATATATATATATATATATATATATATATATATATATATATATATATATATATATATATATATATATATATATATATATATATATATATATTTATATATATATATATATATATATATATATATATATATATATATATATATATATATATATATATATATATATATATATTTATATTTAAGGTGATCTAAGAAGCCCTAATGGTCTTGTCAAAGAGCACTGCCACAAGGAGAATAGCATTTAATAAGTTGGTTCTCCATTCCCAACATTACCAATAACGTTTATGTGTTTTGAGCGGGGATCATATAGTATAATAATGACATATATACAAGTACAACCCTCGGAATTAGGCAACATGGCACTGTTAATACTTTGATATTTTTTGGCTGTTGATGGAATCAGCCTCTCTGAGAGCTACCACAGAGTTTGGGAAACCTGACTACCAGCCGGCCTCAGAACCATAAAATTGAGTTTTAGAGCTGTATCCTCATTAGAAAATAATAGAATGAGTTGCCTAGTCATAAAAACAGAGACACAAGCAAAACCCATTCATTGGGTCAAGAAGATCCAGCATTCAACATCTTAAACTGGAAACAACGTATTAAGAATACATCTGTGCCAGCCTAATAGATAAAGGAGGAGTGCGAGGCTGGTCAACAGATAGAATCTGTTTACCCCTTAAGTCTTTGCCTAGGAGGCCTTCTACAAGACAGCAGCCGGATGCATTTAACATCTGCCCAAGATAAGTATTTTTATTGAGACACCATCTCTAGACTCAACCAAGAGCCCTAAGGCAGGGGGAGTTTTATGTCGGAGTTGGCATCTCCTAGTCTTTGCCTAAAAAGGTGTATCCTACAAGGCAGCAGGACGTGAAGCAGATTGTACTGGGTTACATATTACCAGTAGCAGGATAAACCTGGCCTGACTTTATGTATCATACTTGTTATAATTTCATTGTGACTAATCATGCTTTTTATAATTTCATTGTTGATATATTGTGTTTTTTTGTAATTTCATTGTTGATATATCATACTTGTGTTAATATTATTGTTGACATCATACTTGGTACATTTAATTCCAAACTGTTCCAAAACAATCTGTATATTAATTATTGGCATATTTTAAAACTTTTTGTGACCTTTTTTTAAGAATGAAAGATAAACATGAGAATCTCAAACAAGAAAAAGAAGTAGGTCTACAGGAAAGAAATACTCTCAAACAACAGTATGACGAGTTTGAATCTGCTAATAAATCAAAAGAGTTATCTCAGCTTCATTCTAAGACTCAGTTAATTGATGAATATAAAAATGAAATCATTTTAAAAAAGGTAAGTCAATACTCTTGAAAGTTGTAGGAATAACTAGCTTAATAAAGTACATACATTTCATTTTTAATAAGAACAATTTATTTTAATAAAACTTGAAATGACATATATTAATATAATTTTGAAATATTTTCAAGATTTTTTTCCAATATTTTGATATTAATTGTTTGTTTTTTATTTTTGAAGATGCAACAAGAAAAAGAAAGATTAAGAAATGAAGTTGAAGATAGCAAAATTGAAAGCTATGTTAGAGCTAAAAAGGTAATTTGTTGTGTATCCTTGAAAATCATTTATGTATCTTAAAAAATCATTTGTTGTGTATCCTTGGAAATCATTTGTTGTGTGTCCTTGGAAATCATTTGTTGTGTATCCTTGGAAATCATTTGTTGTGTATCCTTGAAAATCAGTGTAATAGTAATTTTGTTTATTACAACATGCAAGTTATTTATTTTTTTCATGTCATCACATCCACAATTGATTCAGCACTACAGTTAGTTCTTGATAACTCAAACCTCCAAGGGACTAAGGAAAAAGGTTTGACTTAGCGAATGTCTGACTAACTTGGGTAATATGAGAAGTTACTTTAAGTTGATTTTTATTTATTAAATGCTAAAAGTATAAACATATTATGATTTATTTTGTATCAGTTTTATTATAGCTTTATTTTATGTCTGATAATGATCTATTCTATTAAGATCTAAATACAACAAAGAAATATAGAAAATGATAGTGTTATCTATGTTTTATATGGAATGACTTCTTTAAAAAAAAGTTTAATCAACTTATTTTGATTTCTTAATTTCATAAGAAAAGTTAACCAAAAGGAATTTGCTGAGAGGGGGCAAAAAAATGATTAAACTTAACAAATTTCAAGTTAACCAAAGTTCGACCAGAGAATTTTCAGAGTAAACAATTTGATGACTTCAAGGGACCAAATAAAACAGTTCAAGATAACAAAAGTTCAAGCTGACTGTTATTTGACTTACCAGGAATTAATTCAATTTTCAAATTTTTCTCCTTTTTCTTATAACTCTCTGTTACCTCTATCATCTCTATTATTTATTCTTATTACCTTTTTCTTATTACTCTCATGCGCTGAATAAATTTATTGATTAGGATCTTTGGATGTTGACTTCATTTTTATTATAACACTCAAATTATTTTATTGGAATAGTGGATTAATAATTAATGATGGCAAAAATAATGTTGGCTGTTTGTGTTTTTTAATTAATGTGTAAAGAAATGTTTTCTTTTCGTATGCTTCCAAATTTTCCATTTTAATACTATTTAAGTAAAAGATTTAGTACATTTAAAGTTTGTACTCAATTTAATTTTAACTATGTTGGATTTTAATGAATTGAGTAGAGCTGAGACTGACACTAAGAAGTGGATATCTTTCTTGTATTAGTCAGAATTGAGTTAAGGCAAACAGTTATGATTATTCCAACAGTTGATTTCAGATCTTTACATACTTTTTAAGTTGTTTATTATTATCAGTTATTTTCATTTGAAATTGCTCTGTAGTTGTTTTACTTTGCTTAACTTGAACATTTATTTAATCAAACCATTTTCCTTGGTTCACTGGAGGTTGGAGTTTCCAGAATTTTACTTTAGATTTATAAAAAAATCAAAATGTTTGGAGAGCTCTTCAGTTTCGGGTTAGGAAAGGTTAATGTTTGCTGCTCTATAAGATGGTGGGATAAGTAATTTTTAAAATATACTTTTATTATTTTAGAAAATGTCAAGTGTTCGAAGACAAAAAGAAAAAGAGTTATTTGAGTAATTATATTTATTTTGTATAACTCAACAATGTAAAATGAAATTTATTTCATATATATTTTAATAAATTTTAAATTTAATTTTCTTATACAACTGCTTCATCAACTATATTAGTCTATTTTTTTTTTTAATTAAATTTCTTTATGCAAATTTTTGATTGCTAATATTCTTAATTTCAGTATTTTTGCTTGCTTAATCTTTTATTTATCTTTATAAATCTTTTTTTTTTTGTATGCTGGTGTTGCCTCTCATGAGAGCATTTTTTCATTAGTATTACCACATTGTAAATTTTTTTCAACTTGTTTCTCCTTGTTTGTCAAGGTTTATCTTTTGGAGTTATAGAGTTTAAAGCCACAATTAAAATTACTTCCTCGATGTAGTGGCCTTAGGTAGGTGTATTAACATTAAAAAAAAAATTATTAGACAACTTCTAGCTTTTTTTTGTTTGTTTTTTTGACCTCCAAATAATTATTAAGTTGGGTACCATGCACAATAAAGTAAAAAATAACATCAGTATATGTAGATTTTTTTTAGAATAGATTTATGCTTAATCAGACTGTATTCTACTAAATAGATCTAGGACTAAATAGAATTTAAAAGAACTATTAATTACCCAGATTGCTTAGTTTTTTTATTTCTATTGTATTTTCTTTATGTGAAGTTAGTAAGTCTGATATAGTTTATACTATACAATCTTAAAGTTATTTTGAAAACAAAATTATTTTTAACTTGATGTTTTTGAGTCATTATACATTTGTCAGTATGTATTACACTTACTGCCTATTTTGTTTACTTTCTAATTTTCTTTTAATTCTCTGCATACTTATGTAGCATTAGTTTTTCATTTAACAAATGTTTTTTTACTTATTGTATACTGAGTTTCCTGGTTATCTCAAGTTATCAAATTATAATAATCTTACACTTTTTTTTAAAAAAAAATTGTCCTCTCTTATCAGGTGAGATTAATATTTCCAATACTTTTATATTTAACATGACACAGTTTTATACACAGTAACAACATGTGAACTATTTCATTTTTTCACAATTTGTAATTTACTCATAATATAAGAGAATTTCAACCCTAAAAAAAACTACTTTTAACCTTAAAACTTTCACTCTTCTTAAATAATGATATCTTTATTATTTCCTTGTTTATAAGTCTGTAACCAACTAATGTAAACTGTAACTAACTAAAGTAAACCCATTAAATGGTAAGTTATCTTGAATTATTATTTGCTATTAACTATTTTTAGCTATATATGTATATATATATATATATATATATATATATATATATATAATATATATATATATATATATATATATATATATATATATATATATATATATATATGTATATATATATATATATGCTGTATATATATAAGCTGTATATATATATGCAGTTCTTGTAATTAAGATCAGCGCTCCACAATGTTGACAAAACAGCAAAAAATTGCAGACCTCAAATTTGTGTCAAATTTTTTCACTAAGCTAATACCAACCTGATGCTGACCTGCTGACCTAATGCCAACCTCTATCAGTTTAAGTTCGGCAATTTATTGCTGAACTCATTTTTCCTAATTCTGAGGGCTGTATATGTGTGTATATACTTATGTGTGAGCATAGTTATGTATAGATATGGCTATGACTTTTTGGCTCTATAAAAAATAAATGAACTTTCGTTTGAAGGTAACTCAAAAGTCATTGTTTTTATTTACTTTTCGAAAAAGATCACCCACCAGGGCACTTTATTTATACATATTTTAACCCCTTCCCCTCATATTTTGTCATACACCTATTTATTTCCCTTTCCTTCTCCCTAAAAGTACCTATGCTTTGAACCTACCTACCCAACATTTTTCAATATTTTTAAAAATTTATTCTCTCCATACTTTAATAATTGACCCACTGCCCCTCATCTCATATGCCATTTGCAGACCCCATTTGCAGACCTTTCTATTTAAGCGTACTAACTTTATGGACAATCCCTAAACAATACACTTTGAATTTTAATGTATTTGACAGACACATGCTGAATGCACTATTGCAGTATCTAATGTTACACACAATTTTGGACAATACTGAAAAAACTTTGAAAACTCGGTTTTCTCTCCTGTTTTTAGAGTTTTTCATCAGAGCATAACTTCAATTATATAGCAGTTTCTTTATTGATTAATCGAAGTAATTCTTAAAAAAACAAAACCTTATAAAATCATTAAAAAAAAAATTCAAAAATAAAATATCTTTTGTAAATACAAAACATAAAAATCATGGACATAACAGCATAAACACAAAAGTTATATACAAAACAGTTACAAAAAAAATGAATAAATATTTTAAATGATTATTTAAAAATATTTGCAAAAAAAAATGCTTTTAGTGAGACTTTCAACTAAGACTAAATGCTTTAGTTTTATTAACTTTATATGGGTCACAACAATACCTTTAAATCAATTTAAAAAAAAAGAAAAAATTAAATTAAATGTTGATTCTCTTTAGAGATATTACCTATATAACAAATTCAACTGTTAATATATCTTAGCAATTACAAGACATCCCAAAGCTATTTTTGCTGTATTTCTTTATCTTATATTAAAGATGCATTTAAAAAATTTCTTATATCGAAGATACAGATTAAAAATTTCAGGTTTTAAATTCACTATAAAAATTTTCTTATACTCAAGATACAGATTTTTGAATAAAAAAATAAATTACACAAAATAGTCTTAAATTTTTTATAGTACCATAAATTTAGAATGTTTATAGATATAGTGTTGAAATTTAGAGGAAATCTATTTTTCCATCAAAACTACACAAGTTTTTAATTTCAAGAAAATATGAGATGGTTATCAAGAAAGGTTCAGTTCATTTTGTATGGAATAATACTCAATTCTATTTGACTATTACAGCGTTAACTTTTCCCCTTCTTCCTATGACTTTCAATGTTTTATTATATTCTTGTTATTGCTTTGGGATAGATGCTGTGTTTAGTCACAGAAATGTATAGAATCTGTATTTATTTTACTAGTTCACAGGTGCTGTGTTATATTGTAAGTTTTATACTAGGTTATTTAGTATATATACTATGACCAGATTATACTGTATAATACAGTTGTCAAAAACAAGCGATTCAAGGTTCATATAGTGCAAATTTTATTCTCAAATTTTTATTTTTTTAGTTAAAAAAACACCCATTTTTCTAGTTTAAAAATGTAGGCAAATCTTTACATACGCTATAGTATTATCGTTTGAGTAAGATGCCAATAGCACTTGTTTTGCTCAGCTTCTTCTTATCATTTCTCTATTTAATGCAAGTCTCTTCTGGATTTTGACCCTTTTACATTTTCACTTAACAACTATACTAGGCTAGCATTAACAAAAGTAGCAACAAAAAAAAAAAACTTTATGTCACCCCTAGCATCTAAAAATGATCAAAGATTGTTTTCAACTGCTGGGGATATATAATCTATACAAGAAACAGACTGCTTCCAAAAAATACAGAGTTTTTTTTTTAAGAGAAAATATTCCTGTTTATG